TAGATCCACTGTAGATATTTAGCTGACCACTCAGGGTCAACCGTCTTGTCAATTCTAAGAACGTTAATTTCCTGGTTAAAGGAAATAACTTTCTTACTGTACAATTCTATAAGTTTGTAACGTAAATCTGCATGATTATTGACTCCGGTTATGAGTAAACAATGAACACGTCAAGTGTGATACAAGTAAGGTTTTATTAACTACATAAACACTTAAACTAGTCTAACATACTACATAAACACATTAAGCCGGTCTAACATACACATACACACACACACACATACAGTTGGTATAGGAAAGGGTTAAAGTTTAGCACTAAAGAAAGAGACATAAGGAATGACATTTATGGAACCATTTTGCATATTCAGCAGATCTAAAACCTGAGGGAAAACGTCAGATTCTTAGTTCAAACAAACCTTGTAAAAAGGTGTAACTGATACTTAATGCATCAATTAAATCGACTAAGTTTGATACTTGCACGTCTGTATGAACAAAGATTCCTGATGCGATCTTACGGCCCCAAGATCTTGCTGAAGTTGGTTGATGAGAAAGAGCTAGTTTGAGTCAGAATCACTTGATGAATGAAAAGGACTAGGCCGGAGCCTGGCACGAGCTTTGGTATCCTGGAGCGTTTCTCACATCTTCATCTTAGCATCTCACTGAACCACCGACTGGGTGGGTCACATGGTGTGTCAGCTTTTAAGGTCAGAGAAGATCCCCGCCTCTCAAGATGGGCTTATCCAATGAGAAAAGCCGGAATCCCAAGTGGGCGTTTTGAGATCCTGTGGAGTTTATGGCTCTTTGTGTGGAAACATGGTACTTTAGTATCTGAAACTTTGGTACTGAAATACTAAAGGTTCTCAGGGCACTAATATATTGCCTACGTACCAACAAATAATATACATTCTTGTTTAGATCATCAGAAGGCGAATTCATAGATACTAAACAAGCTATATGTAAGGTTATCTGAATGAGTGGTTTATCGTAAGCACGAATAAAAATAGTCTATAATACAACAGATTAATACAAAACAGCAATAATACACACAATGGCCTGAAGAAAATGTGTGTTCATTCAAAGAAAAGGTTTTCCTATGAATTAATTAGTAGAACAGTCCATTTCTCCTGTGCATTTGTACCCCTTTGTTTCTGGAGAAAGCAGAATGAGAGCCGGCTCGCATTCCACAAGGTTGTAAATGTATCGGGTTACCATGAAACCAGGGTCTTGTTCGGCGTCCTGGGGTGTTACAAAGTATTTGTGAAATCTAGCTAAAAAATATATATTGTGTGTTGGAGTGTTCCAGACGCTACAATATTAACATAACATATTGTTTAGCTCTGTATAACATATTATTGATATTTTATATAATCTGAATGGTCATTTCACATGGTACATGAATGACAAGAGTCAAGTAAGAATATGTTTTAAAGTTTTCAAATTTGTTCCTATAATCTAATCATTGCTTGTAGCAGGCAGAGCTTACTTCCTAAATGGAGTATTCAGAAATGCATGCTGGATTTCTGTAGCTCAGCGAGGACACGGCCATTCAGGCAGGGCCAATGAAGCTGTTAAATATATATATATATATATTATAAAAAAAACATTTAGTGTACATTATACTGTCTGTTTTAATTAAAATGAAGGGGACAATATATTTTTATCACAGACGTTGGAGATTTATAGCCTCTTTGTTGTTTATGAAGTGTGTCAATTTATTGTCTATTTTGTGTTTCCTCTGCATTTGGAGATGGGGCAGTTAGGTTGGAGTGTTGCAAGTTAAGATTTAGGCATTCAAAAAAATATGAGTTTTCATCTGTAGCTTTTTCATGTATATAGCTATGTATAGTGTTTTGGGAGCAAATTAATACGATATTTCTGAAATCAAATGAACCTTGTGATGTTGATGCATCTTGTGATAATAATACTGGCATGTTTAGTCAGAAAGCAGTATGAGTGCAAAATTAGTTTTACGTATTTTTAACTATTTTTGCATTTCATTTTATCGCTGTTGCATCATTTTCTAGTAAAATGTGTGTTGTAATAAATGAAAGTGAAGGGACGTGTGACCGAGTATGGTGACCCATACTCAGAATCTGTGCTTTGCATTTAACCCATCCAAATGCACACACACAGTAGTGAACACACACCCGGAGCAGTGGGCAGCCATATTGCTGTGGCGCCCGGGGAGCAGTTGGGGGTTCAGTGCCTTGCTCAAGGGTCTCACCTCAGTCGTGGTATTGAAGGTGGAAGAGAGCGCTGGTTATTCACTCCCCCCACCGACAATTCCTGCCGGACCTGAGATTCGAACCTGCAACTCAACCAGTTGCAGGAACTAGAACAAGAATGCATTTTAGTTACAAGTCCGACTCTCTAACCATTAGGCCACGACTGCCAAAGAGCATTCTCTGACCAGGAATCGAACTCGGGCCGCGATGGTGAGAGTGCCGGATCCTAACCACTAAATCACCAGGGAAAGGTTAAATGCATGATGTGGTACAGTAGGCCTATATGTCAATAAATGACCTCCTTTTTGGACAGAAATATTTAAAGCCAAAATGTTTTGTAGTCATTCACAAATTTTGGACTGGATTTTGTTGGTTTGTGCAGTGGCAAGATCAGACGTGCATTGCCACACAGCTCACAGCTCTGAGGGAACACTGGTTGTAACTAACACTGAATATGATTTGTAAACACTCAAAATGCACAATAAAACCACGCCATTTAGCAATTTCTGAAGAGCATCGAGAGCCGTCTTCTCTCAAACTCAGGGACAGTCATTGAGGCAGCTGTCAGCCCTTTTTCATTTTTGTATAAAATAAAGAAATCGATAATTCTTTGAAGCCAGTTCAGGGAACAATCGCTAAGATGTCCTGTCACTCTCTGATTGTGTTTATGTAGACCATGAGTGCTGTTTTTATCCTCTCCCTAGGTCTTCTTTAAAAAAAACAAAAACAAAAAAAAAAAAAGAGGAAGAATCTTTACCTTTGACAGCATAATTTAAAAGCCTGTATTTTAGACTTGTAGTTTAAGTTCTCGCCAAACGACTCTGTATCAGCATTGACATTTTATACAGAACAGATTGCTTGTCAAGATCTTCTCAGTGTTGCTGAATCGTTCCTTTCTTTTTAAACTGATGCAGCCAACCTGCTTGCTCTATCTATCACCATTAATAAACAAAATGGTGACCGTAGACCCTCTAGCAATTATAAAACGTTAATATGACTTCTTTGTACATGTCTCAATGTACTGAAATCTTTGTTACAGAAATTTATTATTTGTGAGATAAATCACAGACTATAGTAGTTAAGCTGTAAGGTGCAAAATGCTGTGCTGCCTGCAACCTTTGGAATACGGTTGAAACAGTTGAAATGATATGGACTGATTAGAATCCAACACTGGAATTATCCTTTTAATTGTAGAATAAAACAGCACGATTTTAAAGGTCATGGCCAAAAGCTCTATGTTCACTTAATTTTAAGTTTTGATATAAATTGGTGAACACATTCCAGAAGTTTGATCAACATAATTGACCAATGATTTTCTCAATAGTAATTATCCTTATGTTTGCTAGACACTAGAAATCACTTGGGGATATATTCATACTTCACTTAATTAACCATTGCAATGAGAGAAGGGGATGTATAAGGCAACAGAATGCCAATGCTATTGTTAGCTTTGCAGGTGTTTGAGTAGTGTCCTAGCAACTGAATTGCATAGGGTAAACAATGCTGTACATTTCTAGCATTTTGCAGGTGTACAATTATCAACAGAAAGAACCATTTCCAAGTTGCAAGTTCAACAGAGTTCAATGGAACTTGAGCCCATATTTGGCTGACAATGCTTTTGGGAAACACACCTCAGGCCTGTCTGATTGGCGCCAATGCATATTGTGTTACATGAATTAATTAAATTATGAAGAACGATGGATTGGAGTTGTATACTTTGTGTTATTACTAAGCCTTTTGTATGCATATGTTTTCAATGGTTTTCAAAAGGGTTTTCAAGCTTTGGCAAAATATCGAAATATCAGTTTGCAACGTGACAACATGCAATGTAGTTCAAATGATGGAGGTGCAAGGTGCTATCGATTCATCATACTATGGTGATTAAGCAGCGAGTTAGGTCGTTGTATGGGAAAGCCATAATGTTTGCACCTTTTGGGGGGAATTAACACAATACAAATTACTTACAGTGTCTCTGCATGTTAAATTCATTTTTACTCATGTTCAAAATATTCCACACCGTCTTTCTTCTGTGGAACACAAAAGGAAATTTAGAATGGCAATTTCAATCCCCTCTCACTTTCATTGTATTTAAAAAAAAAGAAAAAGAAAATTGCATTGAAAGTGAATGGTGACTGAGGCTGTCATTCTGCATAACATCTCCTTTTGTGTTCCACTGAAGAAAGAAAGACATACGGGTTTGGAACAACATGAGGGGGAGTAAATGAAGGCACACTTGTCAATTTTGAGTGAATTATCTCTTCAGTATGGAATTGGAGAAGGTAACATTGAAAAAAAAAAAATACACCAATCATATTTAAAGATGGGACAGAATACAGATTAGAATAATGCCTCTTAAATAGACCATTTGAAAAAAAAGGAAATTGTTGATAATAGGGTTGTCCTAATTAAGCTTGATTTTTTTTCTCCCTTCTCCTTCCAGCAATCTTTCCTTGAATCCAATTTTCTTTCTGCTGCCTTCCTTTCTGTGCTCACATCAAATGAACATGCAACCGTTTCTTTTGCACCATACATGGCAGAACTTCTCAAAGACTCGCATATCTTGAATTAAACAAAATTATTTAATTGCACCTTCATTTCTGCTTCTGCAATCAGCCTTACATGTGTAGCCATGGAATAGAATTGAGAGTGATGACCGACAATTTAAACTTCTTTTAATACGATTACTCTCTGAGTCAGCCTCATGTGGATAGGGCCATTCTGCTCTGGGCTTTTTAACCAGTGGTGTTTGTCATGACCTCTCTTTTATTCCTGTAGGTCATCAAGCTGGCTTTTGAAGAGTTTGATCTAGAGCGAGCGTACGATACGTTAACAGTGGGTGACGGAGGGAAAATAGGTGATGCTCGAAGAGTACTTTATGTGTGAGTATAGAGCAAAAAAAATCAGCTGCGTCTGTAAGAGTCATTTTCTGAAATGCATGATTATAATTAACATGTTGACATTTAGAATGATTAATGTATCGTCTCTGTAAAAGCATGACATCTAGATTAGGGGCAGCTATGAAGCCGAATGGCAGCCGTCCATGCTAGCAATTCCCAGGTTTGCTCTATGAGAGGTCAATTATCATATTTCTGTTTCTGGAACTTGTTACTGTCTCTTTCTCTTTCAAGAGGGAATGCACTGTGTGTGTTTGTTTGACTACACATGTCTGGATATATGCCCAATCTACAAAAAAATATTATAAAATATCTATCAATCGGTAATGATCCAAATTTACATAAACATGGTGCCGCTCTGCACCAGTTTTTGCACACACAAACTGAAATACAAGCACAACTGTAGTGAATTCGCCCCTCAATCTGTCATGCAATGGAATTTTTCTTTAGTACTGAGGTAAGAGGGAGCAGTGCCTCGTTAATGTTTTTGTTGTTAAAATGAAAACCTCTTAAATTTATTTTTTTTTTTTCCTGATAAAGCTCAGACTATGAGTTAATTCCTTGACATGCCATCATTTCTGCACCATGCAAACACCTCATTATCATGGTCTATGTGAATCCTCTTTTCTCTCATCTTTTTTACAGACATAATAGCATTCCTGATAATGTATTCATTGTGGATGAAAATAAATATTGTAACCTTTGCAATGTATTAAATGTTTTTATTGATTTTAAATAATTCAACTGTCTGGAGGCAACTATGCCAGTTCTACCAAGGTGGTCATATGTACATTTGGTTTTGTCTCAAGACATTCTTCAGGTTTTGGCCCCTTGAAATACTCACGTAGAATTATTTTCTTAGTCATTAGTAATTCAGTAGTAACTCAAGCCACCATTGCTGCTTGACTAGTTCAACAAAGTAGTTCAACAACCTGGAACTACTTCATAGCAGTGCAGATACAGAAAATGAATTATTGAACACCTATGGATGTTTGTCAACCAATCAGAATCAAGCATTCAACCATACCATAAAACAAAGTGAATTAATGCCTTGTTGATGTAATTATACTGTAATGCATGTTGTAATGGAAAATCTCGACAAACTGCTTTTGCCTCTACATCAGAGCATAACTTTACAACACATTGTAACATTCAAAGATAATCCAGACTTTGTAGAATCCGCTGAACCTAATTAAATGTTTCCAAAGTGACATTTTTAAATGAATATTGTTACGTTTATGTCTTGCATTGCATGGTGTCCAACCCAGGCTCATGAGAAGTCATACCAATTTCCAGAAGATGGCGAAATCATAAGAATACGCTGACCCAAACCTAAAGCTAAACATTAAACCCAAAACACTAAACCTAATCATGATGATAACACTCAAAGATGCACAAAACTATAGAATTTGTTCATTTTTGTATAATCAAAGTTGTACAATGTCATACAATTTCACATCTTGTACAATTTATTAGAAATGTAGTTGCCATCAGAGTGTGTAGCTATGAATATTAGCTTTGTTTACACTCATTGCGTTATGTCTGTTTCCATGCTAAATTCAACCGTACAGGTGTACAGGTCAATCATACAAACTTAATTCATAATTCAAACATAATTCAAACGACAGTGTATATCCAGACGTATTTGTCCCTTCTTGATGGCATCATTCAAACACCTGCTATCATCTGAAGATTAGCGAGGGTGCTATGTACAGTATGTTTTAGATTTAGTGCCATCATGTGTGTTAGCATAGTTTTCGCACACGTGTGTTGCTGATTCTCAAAATGAGGTCAAAATCTAGTGAAGTTTTGGTGCTGCACAGGTAATTGTGACTTCTGCAACATTTCCCTTAGGAGACTGGGCATTCTGGGTAAGATTAGTTGTGTTAGTTATTCCTTAAAATATATTTATAGTTCACTTCATTGAAGGTTAGGTACTCTTAATGAATGTTAAGTGCTGGTATCTTCTCTGGCAAGAGAAGGCATGACCTAGATTAAGTATTATATCCTTCAGCACTGATTATACTTTTGTCCTGTGTCTGTAGCTTTTGGTCAGAATGAATGTCATGACCCTGGTATTCCCATCAACGGGCAGCGCTTTGGAGAGCACTTCTTACTGGGCAGCTCAGTGCTCTTCACGTGTGATGAGGGCTTTATCAAAACCCACGGATCCGAATCCATCACCTGTGTCATCCAGGATGGAAATGTAGTGTGGAATGCGGCTGTCCCCCGGTGTGAAGGTGAGAGAGCTTTTAGACTTTGCTCTTCTGCACCTTTTCTGAAGGTGCTGCTGGGATTTGTGAGATGGGCTGCTGTTGACATTCTATTTTTCTGCACTCGCACTGTCCCAGCTCCATGTGGCGGACATCTAACGGCTCCCATGGGGGTCGTACTGTCCCCTGGCTGGCCCGGATACTACAAAGACTCCCTCAACTGCGAATGGGTGATTGAAGCCAGAAAGGATCATGCCATCAAGATATCTTTTGACAGGTATTGAATTGTTTTGGGGATTTTTTTTTTCTTTGTGAATTCACAGCATGTGAAACCCCTGAGCAGCTCAGTGCTCTTCACGTGTGATGAGGGCTTTATCAAAACCCACGGATCCGAATCCATCACCTGTGTCATCCAGGATGGAAATGTAGTGTGGAATGCGGCTGTCCCCCGGTGTGAAGGTGAGAGAGCTTTTAGACTTTGCTCTTCTGCACCTTTTCTGAAGGTGCTGCTGGGATTTGTGAGATGGGCTGCTGTTGACATTCTATTTTTCTGCACTCGCACTGTCCCAGCTCCATGTGGCGGACATCTAACGGCTCCCATGGGGGTCGTACTGTCCCCTGGCTGGCCCGGATACTACAAAGACTCCCTCAACTGCGAATGGGTGATTGAAGCCAGAAAGGATCATGCCATCAAGATATCTTTTGACAGGTATTGAATTGTTTTGGGGATTTTTTTTTCTTTGTGAATTCACAGCATGTGAAACCCCTGAGCACCCATCCCTTTCCCCTTTCTGGAAACCCTGGCATCATTCTCTTAAGTACTGTTTCTCACTCTTACAATTTTGTTCGTTAACCTTCCAGTTTAATCTCCCTCATTAGAGTAATTCTGCTAAAGACCTGGGTCGTAAGCAGATGTTCTGCTCTTTCCAATTTCCTGTGCAGGTTTCAGACGGAGGTTAATTACGACACGCTGGAGATTCGGGATGGGCCCTCCAACTCGTCGCCTTTGATCGGGGAGTACCACGGCACTCAGGCCCCCCACTTCCTCATCAGCACCGGCAATTACATGTACCTGCTCTTTACTACCGACAACAGCCGTTCCAGTGAAGGCTTCCAGATCCGCTATGAGAGTGAGTCAGCTTCTCATCTTTGCTCTGCAGTGATTTAAATGCACAGATTTTGGGTTTTCACACTCCACGGTTGGCGGTTCTGCAATATTCTGCACATTTTGGCTGGACACGCTCTCTGGTGCATGTAATGTAATTGGAATGGCTTCTCCAGGCTTACAATCAGATTATAGTTTTCTAGTTGCCTAAAAAATATTTAGAGAAGCCCGACATGTGTGTGCTAGCATCACATGACCAATATCAACATTCAGAGGCAATAGCTAACTTTAAGAGAGGTGAAGAACCTCTGTGAATAATTAAATTAATCCGAAAATAAAGTGTGTTTTCTTTTTGAAAATGTGTGGTGGTGGGTTTGTAAACTAGAGTGCAATTAGAGTTTAATGTCCCGCTGACACAAGGCCTGTTTGTTTGTTTGCAATCTCAACAGATCGACCAATCATTATTGTTAAAAGCATATTTTAATGCTCTTGTAGTTATTGTCGACTTGTTAACAGGGATTAGCTAGAAAAAGCCAAAATCGGATTTGGCATCTGTTTTAGTGGATCCCCCACAGGCATACAGAGGAAAAAAAAATAAAAAAGCTAATAAATTGTAAATCGGTCATGTAACAAAGAACACATAAACCACCACTAGCATGAAAGCCTTTTGAATACTTAATATTTCAAATTTATTGTTAAAGGTGGAGAATGCCATTTTTGTGCTACTAGTGTCACAGAGCGGAATAACAAAAAAGAAAGCATATTTTCAAACAGCCTTTGCAAGCACCCCTTTTAGGCATCACGACTCCTCCCCACACCTCTTGTGCGTTGTCTGCCTGGGAGCGGAGCATGCTGAGTCGACTCTTGAGAGAGCTGACTGCCCGCATTGCGAGTGTCTTCAGATGCATGTTCTCCACTCCCGGAAGGCACTCTTTGAGGAGGGTGCCTTTGCTAGTGTTCCCCACGGTGCGGGTCCCGCTTCCGCCGAGGCGGAGCGGCGATTACGCTCGTGGTGTTCGCAGCTGGAACTGGCGGAGGGAATGGAGACGGGTGAGTCCCTATCTTCTTCCTCACCTGCCAGATCCAGCGCTCGCTTGCCGAGATCGGAAGCCCGTGTTGCGGTTACTTCCCCCCGGGGAGCGGGCTCGGCACTCCGCCTGTCTTCCTCCGAGGAGGTTGATGTGGTGGGCGTCGATGAGGATTCACCCCCTCAATCACCCCAGTATGAGGAGCTTTTGGAGGTGGTAACTCGTGACGTGGCCAAATTAGACATCGAGCGGCCCGCCGAGAAAATGGTTGAGTGTTAAGCCACCACCTCCGCGCTGGAGCCTGCCTTTTTTCCCCGACTTCCACACCGAGGTGTCGAAGTCGTGGGGAAGACCGTTCTCGGCCCGCCTCTTTATTCCAGCCTCCGATTATTATGGCAATGTGGCGGGGGTGGAAGACGCTGCCGGGCGGTGGCCGCGGGGATGAATGAGCGTGGTTACAGGACGATGCCCCGGGTAGAACAGACGCTTGCGAGCTATCTGTCTCCCGGTGCGGCATCGTCTTTAAAGGCTCCGGCATTGCCCTCCAAGCCACTGCGCACAACGTCAGCGCTGGTGGGCAAAGGGTACTCGGCAGCGGGTCAGGCTGGTGCTTGTCTGCACACCATGGCGGTGTTACAGGCGTACCAAGCCGACCTGCTGAAGGAGCTAGACGAGGGTGAGCAGGTAAAATCCGAGGATATTATCGAGCTCCGGAGAACCGCTGATTTGTCTCGCCGCGCCACTAACGAGACCGCCTGTGCCATTGGCAGGTCTATGGCTGCTATGGTGGCAGCGGAGAAGCATTTATGGCTGACCTTGTCAAATATGAAAGAGAGAGTCGAGGTCTGCCTAATGAATGCCCCGCTTGCGCCTTCTGGCCTGTTTGACGACGCCGTCAATTCGGTCGTCGGCAGGTACCAGGAGGCCCGTAAACAGGTGGCGGCGTTCCAGCGGTTTCTCCCTAGCCGCTCTCTAGCTCTGGGGGCTGCTGGGCGAGAGCAGCCCCCTCCGGGTACCGGCTCCTCATACTGGGACGGACAAAAACAGAGCATGGCCTCTCGTACTCCCCCTTGTCGAGACAGTGGGTCGAGGCAGCGCTCTAGGTCGGGGGCCTAGATATCTAAGCCGGATCTGGCAAGGTGACGCTCGAGGTCGGGGACCTCTAAGGCTAAGCCGGATCTTCGGACCGTACTTCAGTCTAAGAGGTCCTCGGCCAAAAAGTCCTGACGCCACTGGCTCAGGACTCATGAGGGCAGTCCCCTCTGGGGTGCAGCGGGTTACACCGCATTACACTGTGTCTGTCTCACCTCAGTGCCCTCAGGAGATCGGTCTGCTAACCCTGGCGGAGTTACAGGGCACAGCGGTCTTCCGCGAGCGCCACTCTCAGTCACCGCCCGGCAACGGAGCAGTGCTAAGAGGCTCGCCACCTCCGCGGAGGTCTCTACTGGAAACTACTGCCAAATGTGTCTCAGTGGGTCCTGCACACTGTAGAGAGGGGCTACAGAATCCAGTTTGGTTCTCCTCCGCCTCGTTTCAATGGGATTATGCCCACGCTGGTGGGCCCCGAGCAGGCTCTGGTCATGGAACAAGAAGTAGTCACTCTCTTGAGGAACGAGGCCATTGAGGTGGTCCCTCCTCAGGCGTGGCAGTCCGGGTTCTACAACCAGTACAGTCACGTAGCACTGATTAAATAAATGAATAAAAATAGCCTTTCTACTGCATAGACAAGTTTTATTAACCCTCTACAGCACAGCGTTGCCCTCTTTTCTTAAGCCCCATGTTCAGTACATGTTTCTTTAAATGACTGCAACCAATTGAAATGGTCAAAAAGTATCAAATAACAGTCCAATAAGGTGTGGGAGTCACTATCAAGCACAATTTGAAGACGGGACTTCTTTTTCTGACACATGGCACATGGTGTGAGAAGGCGGCAAGATTATTTGCTTTAGTAATCTTATTTAAAATGATGGTGTAGAGCAGACCTTTGTTAGGTTTTATGGTTAAAACCTGTTTTATGGTTTTTATGGTTTAAGTTTTTTTATTTATTTTTTATTTTGCATGTTCAGAAATTCAGTTGTCAAATTTTTCTTTTCGTTGTCTTAGGGTAACATTGTGTGAGAAGGGGTAAGGAAGGTCCACGGATCCCATCCCTAACCAGGAGGGTTCTTGGGTGCACAGGGACACCCAAAGTGATGTGCAAAAAGTGTAACGCACACCTCTGTTTCACAGCAGAGAATAACATGAAGTACATGAGATGAAACAACACTCTACATGATATAAACCTATGCCTGTATCAAACCCAATATATCAATGTGTTACAAGTGTTTTTCCCTTTTTACTTAATGATTTCTTGACATTTTTGAAAAAAAAAAAGATTTGTGATTTTATATTGCTCTCTGAGCATTGTCTTATGATATAATTTTTAGCATGTACCATCAAAATGTGTGCAGAAGAGGGTTAAAAGCCCATACATTTAATGAAAAATTAAGTGTAATATTAATGTTATTAATAATTTATAATATCTAGAAAAAGTAAAACCTGAAGTTTTAAACCAGTAGCATTTTTATAATCAGTTTGTCCAGTGGAGATGTCTTATCGTGGCACAAAGGCACACAGATGTAAATGAACAGAAATCAATCTTCCCTGCAAACAAAATCTAATTATCAATGATCAAATTCTTATTTCAAAAACAGAACTGTTAATAAATTAAGCGTTTTACAAATTGACAAATGAACAGACATAGTTCACATTATTGTTATGTTATATGTTATGTTATGTTATGTTTAAAAATAGAGATAAAATATGGAGATAACGATAAAAGATTAAAAAAATGCTAAATCATTTATTTTGTAGACTTAATAATGGCTATTTATTTATTTATTTATTTTCCAGCCATTTTTAAAAAAAAATTTTTATGCCATTGGTTGGTCCCACATGTGATGTTTCACCTGCCAGTTATAAGAACTGGCAACCAGAAATACTGTCTAGGACCTATAATATGGAAGAGAAGTGGGTGCTCCTTATGTAGTTCACTCATTTGTTTGTTGGTTTGTTGGTTGCACCCCGCTGCTCATGTGCAGTATCGATTGGGGTGTTAAATACACCAGTCCTTGTTCCAAACCCTTATAATTAACAAATTTAGCACCGCTTATAGCACATATCCATGTGCCTGCTTGTTTTGTATTATTGCAGCTATACAAATAGATTTGTTTGTAAAATTGAAAGTGATCACTTTTTACCCCCATGAGCTTAACTGAAAAATGCTAATGATATCTTTATAAAAACTAAATGACTTGACAAATAGTCTCCAGTTGCTCTTTTTCAGCAGTAATTTAACATATTTATTATAATGTAATGTGCTGCAGTAGAGACGGAAGAATGAGAAATGTGGGCAAGAGGCAAGATGATTCTCAAATGATATTCACGACTCCCAATAAATTACCTGCCATTATGACTGATATACATGAAACTCATTCGTGTCAAAGTGTTCCCATTTTTCATTCTTTATAGATGGCTATCAGAGGTTTATCAGTGGCCACAAAATAGATCTGAATGCATGTGAAACTAACAGGTGGAAATATTGCTCAGAAGTCAGCCTCTGAGGAGAAACAGTTTAGAAAAACAGTGCTGTCAGCTTTTCCGAATGGTATTCAAAATATAGAAGAGGTAAGTAGAAATAAAAATGTACTGGTTCAAGGAAGGGATACCACTTGGGGACTGGTATCTGCTGATTTATACTTTGTAAAGTGCTTCTGACACCATCCTCCTTTCAATTTAGACCTTGAAGGTGAAATAATTTTAATTTTATTTTTTTGTTTTGTTCCTTCCACACAGGTATTATGATGGAAACAGATTCCTGTTTAGATCCAGGCATCCCGGTGAATGGGAAAAGGCACGGGAACAATTTCGCCATCGGCTCCAGAGTGACGTTCAGCTGCGATCAAGGCTATACTCTGAGCGATAATGAACCCATTGTGTGTGAGCGAAACCATCAGTGGAACCATGCACTGCCCAGCTGTGACGGTAGGCCATGTTGCACTCTCTCGATTCTAGTCATGTACAAGAGTATCAGCTCAACTACCACCCAAAGATGCCTAAAAACTGGACCCTGGTGTCAGCTTGCACTCTATGTTTTAAGCACCCAGGTGTTTCGTTTGGGGAAAACTTTGGAGGCCTCTGAAAATCAGGGGCCTGAGGGCATTGGTCCAACCCTTCTAGGCTGCATTACATTTTTATCAGAGGGGAAAGGGTAAGCCCTCTTAACACTCCTCCGAGATTTGAGTTCATGCATTTTTGATTACGGGAGAGGTGACTGGCATGCGCTGTTTCATAGATAACATTAAATGGAGGGGGAAAAGGACAGGGAAGTAGGAACACATAATGGAAGTCCTTAGGCAGATATCTACAGGAGAGCGCTCTATAAAGCTGTTTATCTTATTTGCTTTCCGATTACAGGGATTGAAGTAAACAAAGTGTTTTCCAGTAAGACCAATCAGGCTGTTGCGTGCCTCTTCCAGAATTCCCAGTGCTTTCTTATGCCTGCATCGTATCAGCTCCGTGTGTTTGCTCAGACTTTGATTCAGCTTGACGGGCTCTCACCAGATCCTGACCTTCATTACAGACAGGACAGACAGATACTCCCCATCTGTTTGCCGGAATGTAAATACATGTTCATAAAAGATTACACGTTTCCTTCCTGTCCTGTCAGGCTGATTATTATTATTAAATGGAGAGTTCAGACTTAAAATTCTGATTTGTTATTAGACAGGTGGTTTTAATGTTGTGGCTCCTCAGTGTATATTAAGTTGCTGCATTGCTTGGCAACCACAAACAACCTGCACTGGAGACCAAACAGCAATAGCACACTTCAGGCATTGCATTGCAGTGATTATACCATTGTTAAAAGAGTTTTAGGCACTCTGGTGTGCCTGAAGGCCTTTTCACACCAAACATGAATATTTGCTGCAAATGTCTGAACAACATTATTAACAACGATACATTCCTATGCTTAGTAGTGATTAGTCTAAAAAATGTATGTGTGGGGTGGGGGGTAGGATTATTAAACTTAATATCATGAATATTAACTAGGTGATGCAACCTTTAGCCAACTAAGTAAAGCTGTTTTGCTTAAACGACAATCAGCGCCAATCAATTAAAATCTCAACTGCCGTTCATGAACTCCAAGTTTAAAGGGGTCATATGATGCGATTTCAAGTTTTCCTTTCTTATTGGAGTGTTACAAGCTGTTTGTGAATAGATAAGATCCCTAAAGTTCCAAAGACTAAAGTCTCAAACCCAAAGAGATATTCTTTATAAAAGTTAAGACTGGTCCACGCCCTCCTAAAACGCCTCATTTAAACACGCCCCCACATGTCTACGTCACTGTGTGGGAAGATTTGCATAACACCGCCCAAATGTTCATGCAAAGAAAGAAGGCATAACTTTTATCTTTAGTTATGTTGTTTGCATTGGTTAGTTTACCTTATGAAAAGTTGTGCTAATTTTGGGATAGACCGACTTCAGATATAATAAGCCAGAATTGTAATTTGATGAAGAGATTTAATGGGCCGTTTAAGGACAAAATGCTGAGGCTCAAAATGTGTGTCCTGTCATAACCTGCAACGTATGATTTATTTCGATAAAAGCAGGACGATGAGCATGGCTCAAGGACACATTCAGTATTATGTTATGATGTCTGTCTTACAGCTCTGGTGCTTAAGCTCTTTTTTAACTGTCTCTACTGACAGACGTTCTCCAGTCGGAAAATTGTCTCAGTTGTTACATCTCCTTTTGATCTTCTTACAAGTATTTTCCCTATATACAATGTCAACCTCTTATTAGTTAGTGTATCTTTAAACTCTGTTACTTTTCATGTAGAAACATCTCTATTTCCATGTTTTGCATCTATCATCTTATAGTTTCACTAGAGAGGAAGCTGCAAGTTTTATTATGATATTTACTTATGTAACAACTATTTTACATGCTCTAGGTATTGTTTGTTAAGTGTTTGACCCAGATACCATCAACTCCATCTGGACTTATATTTGAACCATTGTTGATTATATTATTTGAACAATGAGCAATTTGCAACACCCTGGCAACCAGCCAAAACACCCTAGCAACTATATAGTAAAATGCTGAAACCACTCAGAACTTTTTAGCAACTGCATAGCAACGCCCCGGCACCACCAGCTATATCTAGTTAAGCTTGAAGCAAAATAATTATTGATGAAGGATGTACTTCAAGGCTAGATTTACTATTTTTCAGGGAAAGCAGGCCATTCAAACATGAGTTCATTCTGCTATTGCTTTTCCAGCTTTGTGTGGGGGCTATATCTATGGAAAAACAGGAACGGTTCTTTCCCCTGGTTTTCCGGATTTCTACCCAAACTCTCTGAACTGCACTTGGACGATAGAAGTGTCCCATGGGAAAGGTAAGACAAAAGAACAGGTCACAGCCACAAGAACTGCACATACTGTTGTAACTGATAACAGTTTGAGGCACAATGATTTTACTCATGAGATTCCTTTCTGTGCCCTTTGAAATTACCCTTTGTAATGAATTTAAGATACACATTCTCTACATTTTATTACTCTGCACCATGTCGGGCAAATGCGATTCTGTTTCGATCAGTATTACGTTCCCTCTGAAGGCTTCTCAGTGGGTTGTGAGGTTGAAACGGAGATTTTGCTTGTGACTGACGGCCCTAATCTCATCTGAAACTCCCCAGGAGTGCAGCTTCTCTTCCACACGTTCCACCTGGAGGACTCACATGATTACCTGCTCATTACCGAGGACGGCAGCTTCACCGAGCCGGTGGCCAGGCTCACGGGCTCCGTCCTGCCACCCTCCATCAAAGCAGGCTTGTTTGGCAACTTCAGCGTCCAGCTACGCTTCGTCTCGGACTTCTCCATGTCATACGAGGGCTTCAATATCACCTTCTCAGGTGGGGGCATCACTCATTCTGTTCATAAATGTGTGCTTGAAGGCATGGTTGTCATGGTGCTTACTCTAACCCATGCTTTGCTAAGCAGTCTGGAGGTTTAAGAGTTATTATGACTTTGTGCAGAGTACAGCTTGGAGCCGTGCGAGGACCCGGGAGTACCCGCATACAGCAGGAGGGTGGGCTTTCAGTTTGGGGTCGGCGACTCCCTGGTCTTTTCCTGTTTTGCGGGCTACCGTTTGGAAGGCGAGAGTAAGATCACTTGCTTGGGTGGAGGGAGGAGAGTATGGAGTGCAGCCCTGCCCAGATGTGTGGGTAGGTGGACATATGATTTCATTTATTATTCTCAAACATCAACATGTTTATTAAAGGGATAGTTCTCCCAAAACTTAAAATTCTGACATCATTTACTCGCGCTCATGTCATTCCATATTCTAAAGACCTTTGTTCATCTTTAGAACATATTAATATATTTTTTTCATATATTTTGTCCTAAAAGTAATCCATATGAATCAAACAATTTAATCCAAGTGTTTTGAAAAAGCATGATTGCTTTGTATGATTTATATGGATTACTTCTTTGTCTTTTTGAAGCTTGTAAATGCTGATTACAAGGATGGACAAAAAATATGACAGAATACTAAAATCCAAAGATGAAAAGTCTTATAGGTTGGAAAACGATATATATGTATATATGTACACTGAACAAAATTATAAATGCAACACTTTTGTTTTTGCCCCCATTTTTCATGAGCTGAACTCAAAGATCTAAGACTTTTTCTATGTACACAAAAGGCCTATTTCTAATATTTTTCAAATATTGTTCACAAATCTGTCTAAATCTGTGTTAATGAGCACTTCTCCTTTGCTGAGACAATCCATCCACCTCACAGGTGTGGCATAACAAGATGCTGATTAGACAGCATGATTATTGCCCAGGTGTGCCTTAGGCTGGCCACAATAAAAGGCCACTCTAAAATGTGCAGTTTTATCACACAGAACAATGCCACAGATGTCGCAAGTTTTGAGGGAGCGTGCAATTGGCATGCTCACTGCAGGAATGTCCACCAGAGCTGTTGCCTGTGAATTGAATGTTCATTTCTCTACCATAAGC